ATGAGAAAATGTAACCTTTCTTACCCTACGAAAGCTCTCCAAAACTCTTTGATTTCATATAATATTCCCTCTTTCCCCTATAGCCTTGATGTAAAAATTCTTGTTATTAATGGTAGTTTAGTCATAGATGTAGCTGAAATTTTGACTCTAGTATTTTCTTTAAAAACATTCCCACATATGGGATCTTTTACCCTTAACCTCCTTGATAAAAAATTTAAATATATGTAGTCAAGAAAATAATAAAAAGAAATGATATCAGGGTTGAATAGGATGAAGGGGGCATATAGTACTATTTGTTGAATAACTAAATAGGAGTGGGAAGTTGCTCCATCAATCTGTTTTCCTCTCTTTTGTGTGCACGGGAAACAGGGACAATGTACCCAGATGTCAGTATTTAGAAGGGACTACCTGGTCCACATATCCTCATGTGAGGCCAATTTCACTCACTACAGTAATAGTATGCATGTCATCAGATTCAAAATTAATATCCTCCTTTCAACTTTTATGTGGGAGTTGGGCTTGGAAGATTAAATGAAAACAACACTTTGAAAAAAATTTAAAATTTAAGTCATTTAATATGTTTGGGAGTTTGTTCATAAAAGTATGGATATAGTGGACATTGCACATGATTCTAAATATTTCTTCATAAATTAAAATATAGAAAATTACATCGTATGTCTTGCTGGCTTTTCAGAAGTGCAGACACTTAGAATGGACTCTTAAGGTGTGTTGAAACATGAAAAGGGCTTCAGTGGCTTGGGTGTTTCTATGGTGATTGCTGAAGCCAACAGTTCTCCTTCAAATGATAGTTGGTTTACTGTATTTAATGATCCCCAATGTAGTTGGGAGATGTAACCCTCTGGAGCTTTTGAAGGGATTTGATTTCTTGATGCCTAAGTACTATTGAGAAGGTTCAGATATTGAAGAAGTGTATGAAAAAATCTATATGAAAGATCAATTTCACAAGTACTTTGTAAAGGCATCAGACAAGAGTCTCACTTGACACAAAATATAGAAGCTCTTTGCCAAAAAAATTGTCAACACACTCGATCTTGTGGACAAAAATATAGATTTGAAGTTGGAGTGTGTGATGTGATGTCAAAGCACTGATTGCTGCACAATCGAGTTCAACAGTCAACTTGGAGATGCTTGCAAAACCCACTACTGATATGATTTCTGACGTGAATAAACAGTGCGGCCACAGCTCTGTTAGGATGAAAATCTGTTCCATGACGTGGGTAATAAATAAGTTTATGAACTATTCAATAGAGGATTAGAAACTATTAGCCAAGCACTTATGGAAAGCCTCTCTCATAAACCATCCCATAATCCAAGCAGACAATTTTTCTGTCAGTCCAAATGGATGCCTTTATGGTGTACAGGTATGCCTGGGAGAACCGTTCTGTGTTATTGGTGGTGGCAGCCAGGCCTGTGTTATAGGGATGTAACATCTATCAGCAGTCAGTGTTCTGCAAAGAATATGGGCACACCTGGCAGTGCTCCAGATGCACAGATGAGCTGATCTATGTAGCTTACTGCAGTGGAGTATGAGCCAAGCTGACGATGGGTTAATCAAATCCTATGATTAAGAAAGACCATGCATGCTAGGACACCCTTAAAAGAATTAAATTATGATATTATCCATTTTTTAAAAAAAACATTTTTTACCATTGCTGAATATTTGATTGTTTCAATGGCATTTTCATTTGAGGGACTTAGAAAGTCTGTCTTTTTCTACTTCCTATGTAGATTAGAAATGGCATTATGGATCTTGGTGATTATTTAACTGTAAATATGCTAAAGTGAGGGTAGCTAAACTTTCCTGGTATCACCTGGAACCATCCAACCTTTGCTTACCTTTGATCATTGATATTTCAGAGGGAGAGAACTGAAAGTCTAACTGAAGGATTTGATTTGCTTTTCAAACTAAATAAATCATCTACAATCCCAGTGAATATGGATAAGCAAAGTGCTTCCTGAAGGGCAATTGAGGTAATTATCCACTAATGATGAAGGGAAACATTAGGATTTAAAATGGGTTTCTTCTGATAATTTCTGATGACCTACTGAGTATTCAGTGATATAACCCTGAGACCAAAATAAAGGAACTGTTAGTTCGAAAGAGCAAAAAGCAAAACCAAAAATGAAAAGCTCCCAAAGTGAAAGTGTGGATTGACCTGTGAATCAGAAATTGATCTAATTCATTTTGCAGCCTATTTTGAACTATGGCTTGTATTTTTCTATAAGATTTTCATAGATGCCATTATGGAATGGTCTTTAGAGGTATTTCCAGACTCAGAGAACGTGGGTTCAAAGCCCAGTTCTACCAACCACCATTTTTGTGACTAAAGGTAGTTTTCCAATCTCCATTTTAAAATTTGTCATTCTCTTACTTTTATTAAAGTAAAATGAGCCAATATTTCTTACATAAAATAACACATGACATATAATAAATGCTGGAAAATTCTTACTTTAGTGACTATAAACTATTAGTGTTCAGTCTCCTAACATGTCAGTGGGACAAGGCACTTCTGTTAATTACCAATATAATTCTCTTCATGAGGAACTAAACTCCTACAAAGACCCAGTTTCCCTATACTAGCATTTTGAGAATTGGGGTTTGAGTATATCAGTTTTGCAGGACATAGATATTCATAGTATGGGTGTTAGTGTGTATGCTTTGTTAATTTATTTTTAAAACCATACCTACACATGAAGAAGTTGAATATTAACATAAGAATATTTAGGGAAGGTCAGCCAGTACCCCACTCCTATTGCTAGCTCCCCCCATCCTTGTAAACACTTTACTCCTGTGTGTGTGTGTGTTTGTGTGTGTGTGTTAGTGAGTATGTCTCTTCTAATGCTTCAAGTAAACTCCTTAAAATTATTTTTAGAAAGTAGAATTTCTGACTCAAAGTGTAAAAGCAATACTGTAAAGCTTTTAGGTATGTACTCATGCCCTACCTTTTCTTGTTCTGGTCCATTTACTCTGTCTATGATTTATTTAAACTGAATGATTTTTGTATATCTTAACCTTCCAATAAAGAAACGACTTTAAATGTTTCAGCATAAGAAGAGTTCTTCATTAAAATATTAGTAATCCGTATAGCCAGTGACGAATGAAAGTCATAACTAACTTACAATGTGAACACTGATTTTTGCTTGCTTTTGACATAATGCTCACAAGGAAAGGGATTGAGTGTTGGAGATATCACAAAAGGGTAGAACAGGGTTTGAAAATCAGGGGCATCTAAGTTGATAAACTAAGCTTTGAAATGCTAAGACAAATTCGATGTCCAACGTGCTCAAGTGTAAAATACGACGAACAGCATGTACTTCTGTTGTCTTTAAACAATGAACCATACCATATGAAAGAATATAAAAATATCTTTCCTTCATCTATCCCTCCCAGTGGTCACAATGAGTCTCGGATATGAAGCATGGAGTATTAATAAAGGAGTTCACAGCTAAACCCAGTCAACCACTAACTCTGACCTCCCATAATTTGCAAAATATTTTTGTATCCTTAATGAAGGCATCCATTTACATAAGCCACAATGTCCTGCTGGGCAAGTCATTGGCATTAGGCAGGTTCACCTTTACAGAATTAATGAAGCTCTACTTTTTTCTGTAACATCTCAGTGGGCAGATGTGAGAAGCTCGACTTTATTCTGTGTAACATCTCGGTGGGCAGATGTGAGAACTCCGGTCTGACTTTCTCTCAATAAAGAAGCTATTAGCAATTTTTACCAATATATGTCGGGTTGAGTGTTAAATCTTCATACCCAAGGACCTCTAAGGCCCCAGATATATATATCAAGGCACTATTTCAGCTTACTGATTTATTTCCGAATATGTAGCTTTCTGCGAAGAGAATGTATAGGTGGTTCATACTGTTTACAATGGTATCATTTTTCAAAAGTGAGATTTTTTTCTGCTCAAATGATTCCTGAAGTTATATGCTGCCTTTTGTTCCCAAAATTGTTCTATGACTATTAGATGGCCATACTGTGGACTAGAAGAGATTGGCAACCAGGAGTGGCATCTTGACAAGCCTGAGATGGAACTCTATGATTTCAGTCTTTTTAGGAGCAATCAGATGCTCTCGAGGCCCATAGAGTGAGCTACAAAAGAATGGGCAACCAGGAGGGGCACCCTGGAATGCCTGAGATAGAGCTCTATTTGTGATTTCAATCTTTTGGGAGCAATCAAAGGCTCCTATCCATATTTAAACATAGGCATGGAGTTTTTATCACAAAAGAAATGTGTCTAACTGGTTACTCCCTACCAAGGAATATGCTATGTGTACTTGGAGAGTTTCTCTTCTTGGCACAAACTAGAGTTATCATGACTAGGAAAGTCAGCTGAGAAATTGTCTCCATCAGGTGAGCTCTGGGGATGTGTGTGGGGGGCATTTTCTTGATTGGTAATTGCTGTGAAAGGGAACATCAAAGCCACACCAAAGTGAACCTGGGTTGTATAGAAAAGCAAACTGAGCAAGTCATGGGAAGGGCAAGCCAGTGAGTAGTGCTCCTTCATGGCATCTGCTTCAGCTTTTGCCTTCAGGATCTGGTCTTGAGTGCCTACCATGACTAGACCATAACCTACAAGATGGACTAAACCCCCTTTTCCCCTAGTTGCTTTTGGCCTGGTATTTATCACAGCAACAATTGGCTAACTAATAGAGTAAGTTTTAGAGATGAAAGCAATTATGGCCAACAATGAGAAAATCCTATAGCGTGGAAGACAGTGCTGTGTGACAAAACATTTTTTTAGGGAGATGTAACACATATATCTACTCATCCCAGAGAAGGAACACGTGACAGACCAATCTCCAATTCTGTAACTCAATGAGTTTTATTGGGGTTGCTTATATGAGCAGAAATAAGTCTAAGATAGCAGCACCACACTGCCTGCATTCAGCATGGGTCACAGCTCACAAATCGGAGAACCTGAAGCACACTACACAGACAGACTGCAGCAGCTCAACCGGTTGGAGGGTGTCTTTGTCAGGTATCTAAATTGATCTAAATCTCTTCCAAGCAGCTGTTCTTATCTCTGAGGCTTCTTTGCTGGTTTCCTCTTCTGCCATGGTTCTTTGCAGCCAGGTTTCCTTCCTTCTGGGGCAGACTCTCAGCTTCTATTGCTTACTCTGGCAGGGGGGAGTCAAGTGAACCTGGTCAGTTTCAGGAACTTCCTGATGCTGTTTTGAGTTCTTTACCTTCCTGATGAAGGAGATTCCTATAGGATGGAATGTTTTAATCTCAAAGGAACCTGTTACACAACAGACAAGTATATAATTAATAAACAAAATATAATAAGCCAATATAATAGTCTTTATGGGAGATTATGAGGACACAGGGAAGAATTTATAGCATATATAGAATAAGAGACATGATGTATTTTCTAATTATTCTTTATCAATAAAAAACAGGGCATCAGATATCAGTGTAAGAATATGAATAATCAAAAAAGAGAGAAGTCAACTCATCCCTCTTCTGTTCCTCAATCCAAAAGGGTTGAGATCCTCTTTCTGACCTGCTTTACTACTTCCTGCCTCCTATCTGCCCCGTTCTCCAAAACTTCTATGTTTAATTTTGGCTTGCTAGTGGCTAGCTCTGCCCTCTGACTCGAAGCAAATTTTATTTTCAGAATGTGATCAAAATATCACACAACATGGACATGCAAATATCATATTATAGAGATACAGAGATGTTTATTGATATGTGGCAAAGGAAAGTTGTTTTGTATTTAAATGACTTAGGGGAATATGAGCTGAAATAAAATCAGAGCGATTTTCCTCTTACAAGACTTCTTACAACAGTCATTATTTCCTTGAACTACCACAGTTTCCTTGAATTATTGAGCAGGGAAATTGTGTTCTTTAAAACACCCAAAAAGCATCCTGCCATGAGACATACTGGAGAAATTTTGATAAAGGGAGTTACACACCCTAATGAAGTCAAATTCTTCTAAACATGATTTTGAAAAATATCATTTTCCTATAACTAAATTGAAATTCAGACTTGGGTTTCCATTCCACTTGACTGGAAAGATCTTTGTAAGTCAATGTATGGTGCTGTCAATTAGAGATTGCTCGATCCCCACTCCCCACCTCAGTGCAACAGTAGAGCTCTGAGCAGCTTGCGAGATCATGGTGTTAGAAGACATATGGTTCTCATCTGGTAACTGCCCACACAGCTACCAGCTGCGGCTTAGAAGACTCATCTGGTTTTCAGTTTTGTTATTATTCTCTGGGATGTCTGGCTTTCCAGCTGTCTACCCAGCTACTCATTCACATTACATCTAAGTCAAAGCCATCCCTTTTCATTCAGAAACTCTTTCGGGCCAACTGACAATTTCTTAGTTGATTTCTAGGCCTTCCTTGATACTATGACATGGTCAGTCTTTTCTACCATGCCACATTAATTGGAGGTGGGGGCTTTGGTGAGGCTGGCTAAAACTATTTCTGCCTTGCAATTTTCAGCCACATCAAGAGTGCAAGGACCTGCTTGTAAAGAAATGAAAAAAGCCAAGCAGGAAGTCTTTATCCTAGCCATTCCTCCTCCTGCTCACAGAGCATCAAGTCTTCCAGCCTCTTCAAAAACCCTGGGCGACAGTAGAGTTGGTACATGAAGGACAACTGCTCTTGATTGCTATGTATCCAGTGGTTCCCAGAGGAGATACCACAGCAATTGCTGGAAAGTTGGCAACTGTTGGTCTGTCTGCAGTATTATATATGCTACTTCATCACTGTAAGGAATAGCATCTGCCACCTTTAAAAATTCAGTTTATGAATTATGTTTACTAAGTGATGAAGTTTCACCTCCCAATTCATAAAACTGAGTTTCCACAAATACGTTCACATGTATCCTGTGAATTTCTTGAAAATGTAGTAGTTTTTGTTTTGGCTCACATAAATTTAGAAAGAAAGAAAAATCAAATGGGGTACAAACAAATTATATAGCCACAACATTAGGCAGACGCCTTCAAATTCTTATCTTTCTAACTAAGCCATGCCAATTTCCTTCATCGGGGATTTTTGACAAAACCACAAAAGTGGTTGAAAACAGTTCTAATCAAAATGCTAAATGAGACAACGAGGAGGTTTTATTTCTTTTGATGTACTCGATGAGAGGTGTGATGGTTTCAATGAGAATGACCCTAGAAGGCAGATATGCTTGAAGACTTAGTTATTGGTGGAACTGTTTGAGAAAGAGTAGAAAGTGTGACCTTGTTGGAGGAGGTGTATCCAGGGGGTACGCCTTGAACGTTCAGACATGGGACATCCTCTGTGTGAGTTTTTTCTGTGCATCCTACTTTTAGATCAAGATATGAGCTCTCAGCTGTTGCTGCAGCCAAGTTTTTAATCTGCCATTGTGGAATCTAACCCTCTGAAACATTAAGTTCAGTTAAATGTTTTCTTTTAAAAATTACCTTGGTCATTTTTTTTCTTCCATAGCAATAGAAAAGTACTAATAGACGGTGGGTTAAAAATTTGACCAGGAGTCCATATTTGTATCTACATAGAATAGAACTTGGTGACAATCCTGGGGAATAAAATGAGTTATGTTTCAATATCGCCAATCTACCAAGCATGTCTCTAGATTATGTTGAATTTAAGTACACTTTTATGACAGTTACTCTTAGTTCTCAGTGTAATTTGACTGGGAGCTGCCTAGCTTATTAACAGACCTAAGAGAATCTGTTGTGAAGACATTTCCAGGGACATAGGTAAGGAGCTGCATGACATGGATGTAATGTCACCACCCAGTATGCAGGGAGTAAAAATGAATCCAAAAAAAGAGAAGGAAGCTTATAACTATATTCACATCCATCCTTCCTGGCTGCTACTGGGTGAACAGGTTTACTGTACCATGGCCTTTTGTCTGTGATTTTCTTATAGCCAACCACAGAATGAGCGAAAATAAATCTTTCTTTCTTTTTTTAAGTTGTCTACTCAGGTATTATATTCTACAAATGACATATATAACAATATATAATATTACTCATTGTGAGAACAGACTGTGATCATAGTGTTGATGTAATATATCCAGGTTTTTAAAGTTATATAAGGCAGTATACCCTATAGCTATATCTTCTGTCTCTAATGCCTATGAAAACTTCTGCCAACGTACTTATCAGAGATGTATTCTCTACTATGAACGAGGAAGTCATAAATCACACAAGAATCTAGATGGGTTCCTTGAAAATTGAGTAAAAAATAATCTAATTCACTTTTTCTTTTTCTATGATTGACAGGTTTCAGTGTTCTGGACAGTCAGTTGTACTTTTTCTTCACTGATTTTTGTCATTGTGGGAAACTGTGTGCCTATGTTCCCTTTGTCGCCTCAGCCTAGGAATAACCTTCCCCATGCATCCCTTACTTAGAAGACTTTTATTTTTCCTTCTGACATTGGAGTTCTCAGAATTTCTGATACTTCTGTCAACTGCTTGGAACAGCTGACTTCAGAGCGTTGCTCTTGGGAATAGGGACTCTACTCCTTATAATCCTTTCCGAGCTACCAAGACATAAAGGGAAGGCTTTATCTGGATAACAAGTATCTATAAATCCACAGCCTTTTGTAGAGTACACCAGCAAGAGCCCTTACTCTCCCAAAGGCAAGACACTCTGTCTCTTTCCTCTTTAGTCTACTTCAAATTTCGTAGAATATTGCATAGCACATCTTTTCCATTGAAAAACTACCAAATGCATGGTAATGAAAGGGTAAAGGGTATAAAAGTGACTTTTCCCCATCCCCTAACTCCACTTGACCTTCCAAAGGTATAATATGATATGGACATAATTCATTATGTCATTTGGTTAAAGTTCAAGTTCAGTTTCAATTCAAGTTTATTGTCTTGCAATGGTAAACCTGGAAGTTCAGTTCTGACATTCATATTCTAAACCCTACTCTCAACATGTTGAAGGTTTAGTAAGTTTTCATATGTACATATTTTTCTGTAAGTAGATTTAACAAGATATAAGAAAATAATGAATTTCTTCAGTGGGGAGATTCAGCCCACTGTCTAACTTATTTATCTACTTGGGGTCTGCTAGCCTATCTTATCGTATTTCTGTCTTCATGCTGAGATTTACCAGAGTTCTCACTGATATATACATCTCAAGTGAAATAACTAAAAGTTGTACTATGCCTGTAAATTTTTCTAAGCCCCTAAAGTAGGCTTTTGGCCATTTTCAATTGTTTGGACTTCTGCCAGCCAATGACATTACTTTCTGGTCTCAGGATAGTTTTTCTTCCTGCCACTAGATGTCAGGAACAATAAGAGTCAGCTTACATCTCCTTCATCAGGAAAGAAACACGCTCCGATACTAGGTAATTCAGTCTTCCTAGGGACCAGCTTTCATGTATTAATATTTGAGAACATGCAATATAGGTGAGCTACAGGCTTAGTGATTGAGGATGGATAAAGAAATAATGCAGATAGAAACAGGGAGACAAAGAACTAAACAGTGCACACAGACAGGAATGGATGGGAATGCAAATGGAAAGGAAGTTGTAGTCAGAAAGGAAACTTTAGTAGGCACTAGTAGGTGAAGCAGAGAAGAGTAATCTTCTCTGGAAGACAAATACAAGATAAAAGTATTTTTTGTAAGACTGTTTCCTGGTGTAGATATCAAAGACAAGATGAGATCCCCAAGGGGTTGACTTAGGGAAGTTCCCAGGGTAAGAAGTTGCAGATCAGAACAAACTGACATGATGTTCTGATTCCGCCAAGGAGAGGGGATGCCAGGAGCATCATACAGGGGAGAAAACATGCCTCATTCTTTGAGACATTTCTGACTTCCCAGCTTATGAGAGGCCAGATCACTAGGGGCCCAGCTTAAAAGCCTGTTTTTAAAGAAAGAGTCACATCATACCTCCTCCATGGGTTGCCTTGGGGCAGGCTATGGACCGATTAGCTTCCTAAAAAGAAGATAGTAAATTGAGAAGACCAATACTTATTTTTCTTCAGTAGTTTATCACAGAAAACATCCAAGTAATACAATTTAAGTATCAAAGAAGTGAGGGATAAGAAAGTAGAGGAAAAGGAGACTAGGGAGGAATTGCTAATAAATACTAAATAGCTTAGTTAGCAAAGAGTGTAAGGCAGACATTCATTAAATATTATGAGTTATTTACCTCATTTATAAATATTTATATTACTTCAGATACAGTTGTTTAAAAGCTATTTTGTCATAATCATCAAAATATAAGACTCTATGTTCTCAAATAGTGCATAAAATAACCCGGTAAAGGCAATAGTTTGTTCTTTTTAATACTTGTCTCTATTTTCATCAGTAAATATCAAAGGTTTCAGAAAAAGGGCATTGCTTGCCACATGCTTTTGTTAGTTCAATTTTTTTTTTTCAAATGAATAAAACCTAAAAGGAAGGAGATAGAAGACATGCCTAGATATTTGGCCAATGTGATTATGAGAGCATTTAAACCCATGTCATCTCAAATAGAAGTGTTCACTTTTACACAATAGTACATTTTTTTTCTTCAATTTTAGCCGTAGAAACTCTGGAAACTTGAGAGCTGCAGAGAATAACCACTGTGATGAAATATGGAATTAAACAAGTGTATAAGCACATTGCTATGTTCGAGGATCTATATATCCCATTTAGTTATTAAGTTCAGCAGTTTCCAAACTGTAGATGCTTGTCAAGAACTTTTCTAAGAACAAAAAGGCTAAACAGAGGGACTGGGGGTCTTGGGGAAAGTAATCTATAGAGTGTCTCTGTGCTCTCCAGGGGCTAGGGAGGAAATCCCAACAGGGTTTTTCTCGTTGCTTTTTTTAAAAAGGTATTGCTACTTTTTGTCTTTTGAAAATATGTTAAAAATAAAAATGTATGCATAATATAATCTACCAAAACTTGCACAGCAAGAATATACCTATATTCAGTTATAAAATAATATGGTTTGGTTTAAGAGTCAAGGGGACTCATCAACTACTCTGTACATTCTATAGACCCTTTACCTTTTCTTTTGCACATATGGCCCTTTGTTTTACTTTATATGACCACATGATTAATCATTACTGTTTTATTTAATTATGAATTTAAGTGGGGATAATGGTGTGAAACTGTATATGTTAGACAATAAGAAAAATAAGAATTAGTGAAGGCATGAAATGTTAAAAAAAATAGAGAAAGACTAATTGTATTGCCCAGTAATGATCCCTTCCTCCACTACCCTCCCCACTCCTCTGTCCCAACCCTTTCTGTCTCTTTTCCTTTTTCTTCCTCCCTGACACTTATACAACCTTGGCAAAAATGCACACAAAATTTACTGACAACATTTGAAACCACATATATTAATTACTTTTCTGTTACTAAAATACCCTGAAATAATGCAAGTTTGGGGAGCAAAGGTTCACTTTTACATCTACGTGTGTCTCAGAAGGACCCAGTCCTTTATGAAATGGAAGGCAGGGCAGGAAGACATTGAGGCTAGTCAACCTCATTTCTTTAAAACACAGGAAGCAAAGAGAGAGTGAAAGAGAGAGAAAGAAAGAGAGAGAAAGAGGGGGGGGCAGGAACTAGGATCTGACTATAAAAACCAAAGCCCAACCCCCAATGATATACTTCTGCCAACAAGTCTCTGCTTCCCAGGGTTTCTGTAGCATTCCCTAATAGTGCTACCAAGGGAACAAGTATTCAAATAGACAAGGCTATGGGTGACATTTCACGTTCAAACTGCAATACTACCCAATAATGATATTAGGTTATGATAGAAAAGAAATGACTACCGAGCTTTCGTCTTCCCAGAATTCTCCTGTTTCCGTTGCCTTGCCTCTACTTCCTACTTGGTTGTCCTGCCTCTACTTCCTGCCTGGCTACTGGCCAATCAGCATTCTTTTAAAATACAATTGGCAAGGTACAAACCATTGTCCCACAGCAGTTATGCCAGATTAATTATGCTTAAATATATTCTTTTAAAGGAGATAATTTTAAACTTACACTCTTATCCCTCTCTTGGCCCTGTGTGCGGAGCAAGCTCATTTGCTGCTACAAGTACATTCCTCAGAATGAACTTCTCCCATATATACCAACCCACAGAAAGGAAAGGGGATTTCGCCAGCAGGGAAATTTCTTCAGGATACCATGCAAGCATAGTTTGCACAATGAGACCCTTGGAGATGTGTTCATAAATCTTACAAATATTGAGGACTCAGGAAAGAAGCCATTAATAAAACTGAAACGTCTTAGGATTTAATGCCGTGAAATGCACAGTGAGAGGCCAACAGCGGCTTCTGGTATTGCTCCAGTGCTTCTGTTCAGCTGAAGAAAGTTTCACTCAGAAGTTTCTCCCCAGCCCCTTTTCCGGAAGCCTTGCCTATCAAGGGAACTAAAACTCACATAACGTCCATAGAAATGTTTTCTCTTTTCATTAGGATATAATCACTGATTCAGAAATTACAAAGGTCTGTAAAGGCTGCAGGAGATAAACTCCATAAGAAAGCATAAAAGGAATTAAGTTATTACAGCACCACATAAATATGAGTATTTGCCCCACATACTGAAGCAAGGATTACCTTATTTTGGAATAGGAAGCCACACATAGAAGCCAGAGGAACTCAGAACCAGATAAGAAAGTGATACCATGAAGTCCCTCATTTAAAAAAAAAAATAACTAAAAATGGAGTGGAGAAGGTAAATTACCTAAGTTCTAGTTTTAAAAAAATTAGTGAGGGGTTGCATAAAAATTACAGAGATAACAATAAGTTGTAAATGTTAACAAGGGGCCAACCTTAAGTTTTCCTTGTCAGTCATTGAAAATATCATTGTAACTTTAATCAATTATTCTGGATACTTTTTTCCCTAGAAATATTTTGCACAAATAATTTTAAAGTGCTAGCAACTCAAGAAGGCGTAAGACTTCACTCTAATACTCAAGTATGTTTTCTAAAGTGGTTCCCATTCTCATCTCCTTTAGATTGTTTTAGGAGTTGCAATTTCTACTGTTGCTTGGAATCCTTTAATTTGCTTCAAGTGCCTAACTTCAATTCCTGTGTTTTATGTGTATGTCCTGATCAGGCCTTGAATAGATTACTCTCTCTCTCTCTCTCTCTC